CTCATCGCTTTGTGCGAATGGGAGGGTAGACTACTTTAGTAGTCCGATGACTTGGTCCTAGTGTGTAGTTCTTAATTCTTGCCTACTACTGTATTGCTCTCACTATCTATATATAAAGCCAATGGAAAAGGTGAATAGTGATTTTGGACTCACCAAGCTTCAACAAAAAGATTTGGACAAAAATGCCCTCAAGACAAAAAAACTTCAAAAGCATCCCAAAATAATGTATCAAATAAAGCAGGGGTGTTTTCGTCATTTTAACAGTGTTTTTTTTAATAATTAATTTTTTGTGGTTTTTTTTTAAAATTAGTATCTCACAATAGGCTAGGAATAATGTGATTCAATTTCTCTATTTTTAAACACGTTCAAAACATCTTAAGAGACGTGTAATGTCTGTTATAAATAAAACAGGTCATTCGCACGCAAATAATTATGTGATTAAATTAGTTGTCAAATGATTATTTTTTTTAACAAACGATATTATCTACACTAAGGGGAAGGGGTGAGCTTAGCCTCACAATGGACTATCAATAATGTGATTCAATCAATTGTTTATTAAATATTATTTTCTTTATTTTAAACACGTTCAAAACATCTTAAGAGACGTGTAATGCCGGTTATAAAAAAAGTATTTCGCAAGCGGATAATTAGTTGTCAAATGATTATTTTTATTTTTAACAAACGATATTATCTACACTAAGTGGGAGGGGTGGACTTAGCCTCACAATAGACTAGCAATAATATAATTCAATCAGTTGATTATTAAATATTATTTTCTCTATTTTTAAACACGTTCAAAACATCTTAAGATGCGTGTAATGTCGGTTATAAAAAAAAAATTTCGCACGCGGATAATAATGTGATTAAATTACGTTAAATTAGATGTCAAATGATTGTTTTTTTTTTAACAAACAATATTATCTACACTAAGGGGAGGGGGTGGGCTTAGCCTTACAATAGACTAGTAATAATGTGATTCAATAAGTTGTTCATTAAATATTATTTTCTCTATTTTTAATTGATTTATGAGAGGTTTCTTCTTGCATGATCTAAGATTATTCATTTACTTCAAATATTTGACTTTCCTTTTGTCAATTTACGCATATAAATACATTTAAAACGTTTAAGTCGCGCATAGAACGCCGTGTTTCAAAAAATACCTTTTGTGTGCAATGAAGGCTAGTTTCCTTAAAAAATAAAATAAAATCTCAGCTTTAGGAAATCCTTATAAGGAGTTTTTCTTTCACAATTTCAATGTAAAATGTTGGTTAAGATCATTTTGAAGTCTGAAGACATATCACGGGTTTTATGTAATTGCCTTTGACAAAATAAATTAGAAAGTGAAAAGGTGAGATTCAAGGGATTTAGGGATGATTTTGCTTCTATTTCAGGAGTGACTAGAGATTAAAGTATTGTTTTCTATTAGTTCTTAATCTGAACTAAGTAATGTAATAAAGCGATTTGATTGTACGGTGGAGGCTAATTGTCAAGTGAGTGAGAAGATCGTTGTCTTTTTACCATCACGATAAGGTCAAATTAAGCACATCCTAAACCCAGTTTGTAAGACAACTGGTAACTGCAGTTAAAGTTTTGTTAACCTGTGTCTCCACTCTGCAGTTTGACAAGTAATTAGGAAACATTCATAAGAAAAAGAAAAGAAACCTCATCCTGTCATGAAAATTGAAGGTAAAAAGAACAATGAATGGCCATGTATAGCTCAGAAAGTAGAATTTCCTTCTCCCAACCAATGGAGCCCTTGAAAAATTTGGTTAAATACAATTCTATCTCACAACAAATACCTTTCCATTTCAGCTAAATAATGTTAAAAAAGAATAATTTAGTATGAAAAACTGAATCCAATTCAGTGAGGAGGAGGTATATACTCATGCTCAATTGCTGGTGTTGTTCGAGTACCCGATGCGGTAGGAGCCCTCACATGTCCAACCATTGATACCTGTAAAGCTTCCTCTTCATAAGCCCTTCTCTCCATCTCCACCATCCTCGACTGCTTCTTCACCTTCACAAGCATTGCCACTAAAAGCAGTCCCAAAAGAAAAGCACCCAATGCAGATCCAACCGAGCTTCCAACCGCTATTTTCCACTGGCTCACTCTCTTCCTCAATTGCACCGGAATAGGCTTCTCGATGACCAACCCGAAATGTCCATGCCTTTTTGCAACACAAATGTAAGGTTTAGTTTCCCTTGCCAATGTCACTTTGCCATCACCTTCAAAACTTGCACATAATGGCCTTGTACCCAATTCATTGTTCACCCTTGTGATGTTTTTAAAATCAATGCTGATGGGTTTTTCTCCAGCTTCAATACCAAGCTCAAAAGGGTTGCTGAAGTTCACATCCGTACCGGCGTTATACGCTAAGAGGCCTAAAATTGGAGAAACAAGCTGATATCCAGATAGGTCATAGTTGGCATAATATATTGAGGACCAATTATATCCCAAATTTTGTCTAACTACCATGACCCTCTCAGCACATGGATGCACAGATACACCAGTGCCTAGATGAAATTCTTTTACCTGCGCGCCGTACCTTCGCAGACTGCCACATCTGTATCTTGCAGTATCAACTATGATGCCTGAGAAGTTTGCTGGTAAATTTACAGTGTGTAGTGTTCCTGTCCTGATGCGTGTGTCGTACGCCTTGAAGGTGACGTCTCGAATGAGAAGGTCGAGAAGACGGGCTGATTGGATCTTCTGAGCTTCAGATTTTGTGAACGCTACACATATGAATGAAAGAACAACCAATGTGAGATAGAAGGGAGAGCCCATGTGAGAAAATGAGCTTGATTTCGAAGAACGAATATAGTAACAATAAATCATAAATGTACAAAACGGTTTGGTTTGATTTTCTTGGAAGCTTGTACACTAAAAGAATGTGGCTTTGGCTTATCGAATTCTATGAAAAACTAGATCTAAACAGATACAAGGTTGCAAATTGTTAGGCTTAAACTGTTTGTGGACTTTATAGCTCAGAAAAAGCAAAGTTGGGTTAAAGAGTAAGCGAATAAAAAGAAAGTTCCTACTTTGTCTCTCCCTTTATGGAGGTCTTGGAGAGAATATATATGTTAATCCTAAACAAAACCAAGGTTCTACAACACCAAAATATATATGCCTGTTTGTTTCATGAGAAAATGGAAAATTGGGTTTCTGAGAAAGAAAGAAAGATATTGGGATGGCAAAGGAGATGGAGTAGTCATGCAGGATCATCATATGAGAAGGTTTGAAGAAATGATGTTGGAGCCTTTGTGATGATGGCACTTTGTGGAAAAAGGAAGTGGAAAAGGGAGGCTTGGCGTGCTTAGGGCAATGCAATGAGAGGGCATGGCTCTCTTTTGGGAGGGCATATTAGATAATACTCCTGATTGTGTTTGATAACATGTTCCCCACTTTAACCACTTTGTGTGTGGTTGTGCGTCTCACGATTATAGCAAGCATGGAAATTCATTTGATTCCTCTCCAAATGGCCCACAATTCACATGGATGAAATAGTATAAAAAATGAAAGACACGGTAGCAATGACCATTGTCTTGTCACTTGTGGGTGTTTTGAAGAAATAGTGTATTGACAACCGGTGACGGTGCAAAATATTGCGTTATCTGGTGAAGTTGAGTGTCTACTCTAGTTGTAAGTTTCAATTTAGGTTTTATTTTACACAAACGAAATTAGAGGAGAGGGGACGAGTATTGAGAATGAATTCCACATTGATGAGAGAAGACTTTGTATGTGCTTATAAGTAATGGCGCTACTCTTCATACTGCCAATTGATTTCATAGTGGAACTTCAATTTTCTTCAAGAAGAAAATATGACTTTAACTTCATGAATTCTTTTAACCAACCGAAACTCTTGCATTTTAATTTATGAGGGCAAACATAAAATCTTCCTCTTTTCTTCGATGATCATTTCTCAATCTGGCATCGACAATCTAGAGTGCTTTATTATGTGACACAACGAAAGTTATAGCATAAAGGGTTCACAAACGATCACACTTGAAGGTTCCTAGGAAGTCAGGGATTTGTGAGAGCAACTTTCGTTTTTTTGAATTTTATTGAATGAAAGACCGTCCAAAATACAACCATAGAGTTTGCTTAAATAATCTGACAGAAACCTTGACGACAAAAGGAATAAACGGGAAATAACTTAACCCAAATTAACAAAACAACCCAAATTAACAAAACAACCCAAATTAAATAAAAATGCAGTTTTGACCTTCCAAACAGCCTCGAATGCCCAAATTATCGTACATCGTGTCAAAGTAACGAGATTGTTTTGTCTCGTTTTTTTCTTTTCAAAAAGGTATCATGAAACAAAAACAGACACTAATAATCCGAAAACAGTAAACTTTGCATGTGCTATTGAGCAATTGTTCCACTTCTACGTCATTATTTGTTTGAGAAGTGCTTTTAGATCACAATTGACCAAAAGTACTATTAGATCACAAGGTCTTTTTCATGCCTTTTGATGCTATTTGCCGACAAGGCTGATGATGATGGTCATATCGGTATTTTGCAGGCCAACAGGATAGTCTTCAGATCCTTGGTAAGAATTTTGGAGATTCATGAATTATGTCCGTTTATTGTACATCGTATAGTTATTTTTTATTAAGTAATGAGTTTAATTTTAAAAAGAAATATTTAAAATAATTTTTGACTGCACGATATACGATGAACAGATACGATTGACTGATCTCTAAGATCTCCACAAAGAGAATACGACGACTAGCCAGATTCTTTTGCAGGGTAACAGAAAATGTTTTTTGAATTAAATATGTGATGCTTTAAATGTATTTCAAATATTATTGGGAGAAAAGCATTTTTCAAATTCATACACAACACAAGAGTGGAAATATATGATAGGAAATATGATATCAACTTCTACGTAGTAAGATGGAATTTGCAGAACACTTTTTTTTTTGTATGCATATAAAATTTTCAATTACACGTGATATTATTACTTTAAGCAACATTAAAAAGATCCTGAGACACATTGGGTTGAGAAAGACCTTATTCACTAGAACAATCTATTACTTGCAGAACACTTGTTTCAACCAAATAATACTGAAAACAAGCAATTGTACATATAGCATGTAAATATATTGTTCTCTCATTGTTGTGATCAGTAAAATTACTTTAGTAAGGATATATGAGTAACCAAAGGGAAATTTTCCAAGCCAAAGCTACAGATAAAGGCCTTGGGGCTTTATAAAAAAAGAAGGAAAATTAAGAAAAAAAAAAAGAGTGGCAATTAAGTAGGCATATTAAGTAATACAGAATCTCCGCATATTTGCGTGCTTTTGTGCATCAATGGAAGTTGGTATTTGAATTGTAAGTCAAACCCACATTCCAGCTTGAAGGAGCAACATTCCAAGCAATTATAGTCTCTTTGCTTGTGTAGGAAGTTAGCCTGAAAGAGAGAGCTTGGCCTTTCAAGGTTGCAAATGCCTGGTATGAAGCTCCCCAGTTATGGCTCATTTGAATCCACCCTGATCTGCTTCCTTTCACCCACATGCTTGCAATGTCACCTCCTCCTCCTACATTCATCACATACACCAACAACCAGTACCCGTTTCCTTGGAAAGAGAATCGAAGGCCGCCCGACCTCATGCACGGCACTCTGCAAGAAAATCACATAGAAGATTTATAATCCAATTGTGAAAATGTGATCATATAAAATCAACTATTTAGTTAAGGCCAAATCATGATTTTGGTTGCTATAATTTACGCAAAGTTTCATTTTAGTTTTTGTAGTTTACCAAGTGTTGCAATTTAGTAAAAAAAATAAAACCCTAATGTATCCTAAATTTTAAGGAGTACCTGCGATACATGACGGGAACAATGCCGGCCTTCCACTGAGCAATTTTCATGAAGGCAGGTTTGGCCATGTCGAAATGGGTGCGAGGAGGGTTGCACCAGCCTCCGGCATTGGAGTCCTGGGACCAGTTTGGCGGACAAAGGTTGGTGGCGGTGACGGTGGTGAATTCAACATTTCCAAAGCATGCACTTGCCCCGTAACATTTTATCTGGTAACAAGTTCCGCAAGCATAACCATTGTTGAATAGTGTTGAGCTCAATGCTGCTGTATCTGTACCATACCCATTACTGAACAAGTTTCCATAACCGCAAGCTCCTCCTGTACCAAGAAAACAGAATAATTAAGAATAGGGATTATTAATTAATTGATAAAGTACTTTATTTGAATATATATGTATTCATCGTTTTTGCTAGCTACACTTTTCTTGTGTGGCAAGTCACCGATATAGTCAATCGAGAGAAATTTATACGCAATTAGTTCCAACAAAAATAGTGTTGCATATGTACTATGTTTACTGACATATAAATGAAAAAATGGATAACTTATTTTATCATGTGTTTGAATATGCAGTATTAATTTTTAGTTGGATAATATAACATGTTAGATATTTGAAGGACAAATAATTTTCTCAACATATGTGAAATGAACATCATACATACCCATAGTCTCGGAGGCTGTCTCATCGCCGTAAAAAGTAGCGTGGGCAAGGTTCCATGGACTCGGCCGGTAAATGACCTTTGCAACCACTGTTGTGCTAATGGTTACCAGCATCAATGACATGAGAAGGAAGCTGAGGCTCGACGAAGGAAGGAAAGAAGCCATGTCTGTGTTGGTAGAGGTTCCTTTAAGACTCTGTAGGATGATCGAAGTACAAGTGCAATGCCAGTTGGTCCGTTTTGCATGCCTTATATAATGTTCAACTACAAAACATTTCATGTAGCTAGAAAAATGACTTCGTGGCCCCAACGATGTTTATGCTGAACAATTAGTCAAGTAGGAGTGTTATATTATTTGCTTATAAAATCAATAGTTTCAGTGAAATGTTTTCGTGGTATCTAACGTGCTGGCATGTATGGCTGTACTTGCATTAGGTGGTTGATATTTTAATTTTTTTTATATAATTTAATTTTATTAATCATCCAAAGGATTTTATGTTTATTGAAAGAATTAAGTTGGTGACTAATTGCATGAAAAAGGATACATTGTGTTTGATTACAATAGTATTATTTGCTCATGTTTTAAGTCAACGGACAGAAGACAAACATAGATTTGACTTATTATATTATAGAATAGTATTATAATGTCTGGAGGTTATCTAGAATGGAAAGGGATCTATCCCTTCCATCAAATCCATTTAGTTCATGAATCCGAGTCATTGAAATTTGATACAATAGCCAAAATTATTATAACTTTTAAAGAGACCTCTTGTTTTCCGCCGTCAATGACTGTGTGGATTTAGTGGAAGGGATCAAGAGATGATCCATTTCCAGATCAAATATAATTAATTGCGATCAAGGAATTTTAGTGGTTGTAACCAGAAAAGTTGTTGTTGGATAAAGAAAGTTGAGGTTCCACCTATGGGGAGTAGTCCAATATGTAAGGTCCCTCATCTAATTAATGTTGGATTCATTCTGGACACGTTATTTCGCGGCGAAATTTTAAACCTAACACATGGATAACACAACTCGAGTTACGTGGAGCATGTGTGACTGTTGGGCTTCACACATGATTTCCTGAGATTTTGTGTTAAGCTATTTGTAAGAAAACAGGTATTGTAAATTTTATTTTTCAAAATGGCAATCGTGTTTTTAATTTACTAATTTTTTGCTCTGTTTAATTTCTAGAAGTTTTAATTGTCATGAATATATAGCGTATATACAGAAGTCAAAGTGTATAATGATCATTTTGGATTGCCTACAACAATTTGCTCAAAAATATAAAGGTCAAAGTAAATATATGTATGAAAATACAATTATGGGTGTAGATGAGTCGAGCCAAACCAACTACAAAAGTGTTCAAACTAAACTCAAATGATATTATTTGTCCAAGCTCAAAAAAAAAAAAAAAAAAACTTATAAATGTATAGTCAAACTCACCTTGGCTTGACTTAGGGGTGGTTTGGGAGTGAGGTACTTAAAAGAAAAAGCACCCATGAAAAAAAGCTGTGAGGGTTTTAGGTGTTTGGTAAACTGAAAAAAAATGGCTTATTTTGGAAGCTGCTGTGAGAATAAGCTGAAATCAAAGGAAAAAGTTGAAGCTGCTATTTGCAGCTTTGGAAAACTGGCTTTTTTTAAAAGCACACGGAGCTACAATGCTCATTTAATGAAAATACTCACTATCAGCCTGCTTATTTTTCCAAAAGCACTTTTACAAAAAAGTTTACCAAACATTTTACTGATTTATTTCACAGCCGCTTATTCTCACAGCACAACCGCTTATTCTCACAGCAGTTTTTTTTCAAAGCACAGTAATACCAAACCAGCCCTTAGCTCATTTGTAAAACGGATTCGAGTTTTTATTTGGCTCAACTTAATGAAAATTGAATTTTTTTGAAAATTGAGTAAATAAAAATAATAAAAACAAACTTGGAAATGATTACATGTCCAATATATGTAAAAAAGTGAAATGCTCATGGGTTTTATGAGCTGAACATACCAAAGCTCAACACTGACTCATTTTTCTACCAAGCCTAATAATTTGTTTGAGGTCAACTCGTTTAATTTACGAATCAAGCTTGAACGAGCCAAAACAAGTTGAACACGAGTCAAACTTGAACCGTTTGAGCCGATTTGTACCTCTAAGTGCAACCTATATGTTATTGAGTTTGGGAAAACAAGTCATTTTTCACATAAGTTTTTATTTTGCTTTTGGTATCTCCATAAAACTTGAATAATAATTTTGGTTTAGACATATTTGTCGATTTGTCCCCCAAACTTGCATAGAGCTGCCAATTTCCTCTTTAAACTTTAATTTTAGCTGATTACCCTTTTAAACTTTTATAAATAGCCAATTTTCCCCTTGACGCTAGATTTTAAAATTTTCATCCATTTTTTATCACGCAGGCAATACATGAAAACTGTATGGGGGGAAAATAATAGAAAATTGGATGAAAAATTCTAAAATCTAACGTTGGGGGGGAATTGGCTATTTATAAACTTTTAGGGGGTAATCAGCTATAATTAAAATTCAAGGAGAACATTGCCTAATAGTGAAGTTTAAGGAGAAAATTGGCAGTTCTATACAAGTTCCCGGGGGGTTGGGAAACACCCCTTTGGTTCATTTATTTCTTTATTGGGTTATATAGTGGTTGCAGACTTCTTGGGCTTTCTTGCCTTTTGATTATTTGGGCTGAGACCCATGACCCGTACCTATTTCTTTGTCATGACCCATGAGCCGCATAAATAATCAAGTCTCGTACACCACAAATTTCTGTTACATCGACCCCAAAACCCGAACAAAAAACCCGAAATCGTTCTCAGGCAAGGACTTCGACAATGGAGAAGAGAAACAGAGACGAAAAGATGGGCGGGCCCGGTCCCCAGACGCGAGGCCCACCCGGAAGACAACTTCCGCCACCTCCTCCTCCGCCTCACTCCAGGGGTCCGCCGCCCCCGCCGCCTCGCCCCCGCTCCGAACCCATCGACCGTGAAAAGGTACTCTCTTTAACTTTCAGCTCTGCTATTTACATCTTTAGGGTTTCTATATTTTTCATTTTTTTTTAAATTTATTATTTACTTTTTGCTAGCTGGTTTATAGGCATATATTTATGAACAGCTTTGTATTTTTGTATGTAATGCAAGACTTGCCCTCTGCTGCTTCGGGTTTTCACTAAGGTACGTGCAACTCCAGTTTTTTTCTGTTTTTAGGTTATTTTTTGCAGTTCTGGTATTAATTTTTAGTATTTTTTTAATCTTTTATGCTTGTGAAATTTGGCTTCTAAGTAATTGGAGTTAGTGATTTTTGTTGGAAATTCAGATTTTAGAAAAACCCATATCTTATTTTCTTTAGTGGTGTTCGATTCGAAGCAGGTTTTGCTGATTTTGTTGCAGAGGATAGACTTAGGAAAAATTTGGTGTTGGGGTATTTTTTGTTTTTTTGTTTTTTTTTGCCCAATTAACGGAGCGAAGGGAGAAGAATTGAAAATTAAGTTGGTATAATTATATGTCTCTCAATTTCTCTTGGCCTTGAAGGTCATTGCTCGATTTAGACTCTGAAATCAGTTCAGTAGAAGGTTATGGTGGTGATTCTGAGGTAGGTGTTAAGTTAGGTAATGAGGAGAACGAAGTACATTGGGTTTCTAATACCGTTAAGACTTTGTTTTGGAATTATGGGGAAGCTTTGTATAATTTGGAGCTCGTGTTACTAATGAGAAGATAGGAGAAGTTGGCGGTATTGGAAGTTTGGGAACTTGATGTTAATATAAAGGATTGGGTGCTGTTGACATTCCATTTCAGCCTTTTACATTTTCTTTTAACTCTTTTTCTTTGGCAGATTGGAGCTCATCACAGTGAGGTGGACTTTGCAGTGAGAGGCAATGAACCCAAAGATGAGGTTCAAATTTATACATGGAAAGATGCAACACTTCGTGAGCTAACTGATCTCGTATGTTATCTGTCTTTCATAATGTCATGGGTCATGACATCCTATCCTCTTTCCCATATTTGGTTGAATAACATTATATTACTTGCTCCGATGATGATTCTAGTTCTTTGTCAGGTCAAAGAGATTGCTCCAGAGGCTAGGAGAAGAAATGCTAGACTGTCTTTTGCTTTTGTATACCCTGACAAGCGCGGTCGTTTTGTGGTGAAACAGGTACTTGCTTCCTTCTCACGTAGTGATACATGCATGTATCACAGTACACTATTACCCTTTCTATTTTCAAATCTAGCTATCAAGATGAGGTAGATACCCGAGGACTGCTCTCTGTATCCTCCACTCGACAGATAAATGAGTTCCCTTTACTGCTTCAACTCAAACTTATGCTCATTCAAGTCAAAATAATAAATCATCTCAATAGAAAAAGCAATATTCCTTTGTACATTTTCACCTCTTTTCAGTAAAGAAAATTATGCTTACACCAACATGTGAAATTATATTTCAACCGTCGTATGCAATTATTAGTTTAAAATTCACCGTATGGCAAATTCCTAACTATATTTCATACTGATGTGATCCCAAGAAATTAGTTCCAGTTGGTTGGTTGACTTCTCTCTTTTCTTGTTATTTTGAAATTTATTTTCCATTACAATTGGAGGTAGTCTACGGGTGTGTATGCAGTATGATTTTACGCATTTTCCAGCATATAGCTAGGTGGGAAACAAAACAATTTTGCTTTTGTACATATACAATTGAGAAGTACTTATGCACATACAATTATGAACTACTTTCCCCCTCTCTTTTCTTTTTGTTAAAAATCGTGTATTTCTTGGATTTCTAAGGTTGGGATGACAAATTCTCATGGAAACGGGAGACAAGTGGATGAAAGCAAGGCACTGAATGATCTTAGCTTTCAGGTAAACTGAAATTTTATGTCAAAGTTTGTTGGAGTTTGACGAAAAAAGGGTTGTTCTCACATCTTTTCATTTTTGTAGATTGGAGATTATTTGGACGTGGCGATTCTATAGAGAAGATGGTTGTAGCATTAGCACTGATGTTTCTTCGGAGGCAGCATTTTGGATGGATCGAGTGGGAAGGAGCGTGTCACATGTTTTGTTGCCGTTAGAGTTTGATGCGATGCCCATTTTATTGGATGTCTTAAGCTTTAGCTGCCTTTACTCAACTGTCTTGTGGAGGCCGTTTGGTATGTTGTAAGGATGTTTAAACGCTTCGGAAGGATTTCTGCAATCTTAGTACTGATTTTAGTTCTTGCTGGATGTACAAGCATTTCGTA